TGGTATTGAACTTTGGTGGTCGTAAAGGTGTCCCCCCCGGACTTCCAACTTTGTTCTGCTGCTTCAGACCAACACGGTGGCCCTCCTGGAGATCAGTTTTAACACTGGGAGAGCTCCAGGTCTCACCTGGAGGTTGGCAACCCTAGGTTGGGGGGCTTGTTCTTTCATGCAACCAGCTGGAGTTTATTCCAGATACTAACGATCATTCCCCTATGTAGTTCTTTACAATTAAAATATATCCCCCGCGTACTTAATATAGTCATTGTCTGTGGTACTTTTATGATCCTTCTCTTCCTTTTAAAGAGTTTATAATTCTTTTTAAAGCCCAAATCCCTTGAGGTGCAGGGAGTTACTTAAGGTTCAAGGACATGCCATCCCTATTGCAGCTACTACAGAATGCACAAATGTTGAGATACATCTACGGAGAACCATGTTCTCGCTTGGTATTCTGTAAGCACCATCTTTAGCCTACACAGACACACCGATCATTCTGGTCTGAACAGGCCTTAGGTTTGCTGGGGGGGGGGAGCAGAACAAAAGACATTATGGCCCCGGTCACACGGGCCGGATATCGCGGGGGGGGGGCGTGGCTAATTGCCCCAGTGCAATTTGATCCACGATTACGCGATCAGACGCGCCGGCGGCACACCACGGGTCCTTCCGTCGGCGCCGGCGGGTAAACAAGGGACCAGAGGGGAAAGCCGCGCGCTGGCGCGATCACACCACGCGAGTCTGGAGGCAGCCCGTGGCAAACGTTTACTAGTACTTTGGAGGTACTACTTTTTTAACGCGCATTTTCGGCGGTAAGCCACGGGTGCACTCCACTTCCCAGATGTTGGGGTGTGATCGCGCCCGGATAATCCGCCCACCGTCCGTGCATCTCCCGCGGCAACTTTGCCGTGTGACCGGGGCCCATGATTGTGATTAACACAAGCAATGTTTGCTGAACAGGACGCATAGAGTAGCTTAGTACTTCTGTGAAGGAGCATTACATGAAAATGCCACCTCTGTGGAATTGTACAGTGAAACACGGAAGATAATATTTCCAGGGCCTGAAAAAACAACTCCAATTTTTATCACTCTTAGTTGATGGGTTTAATTTCCGTCAAATTGCTGGTCTACCTTCTTCCCTAAAACTCAGGGATAGAAAGGCATGGTCCAGTGGGAAATGTTTCCCTCTTTCAGGGGCTCCCAATGTCCTTCGAGGAGGTGGCCGTGTTCTTCACAGAGGAGGAATGGGCTCTGCTGGATCCAGGTCAAAGAGCCCTCTACTGGGAAGTCATGCAGGAGAATTACGAAACTGTGGCCTCTCTGGGTAAGGATCTTTTCTGTTTTATCACGAATACAGAAGAGAAGGGATCAGGGGAGCCTCTTCCGGGGCCCTTGTTTTCATGATGAAGTCTCATCTGGCACACAGAAAAGAAGGGAGCTTAAATATCTCCACATGTTTCTGTGACTCTAAATGAATGCACTAAGCTAGCTATGTAAACTTGTGCTGTAAGAAGAAATCTCAAGCAAACAGAGGGGGGTGCAGTATGATATGGATGCACACAGAATAGAGTTACTGCAACCAGTGCATACAACAAACATGTATTAACTATATTAATGCTTTTACAAATTGTATTCACAGAAAGATAAAGCCAATGTTAATAAAGATGGATGGATGGTGAGACGAACTCCCCCGGAGTTGACATTCGTTTCGATGATAGTCTTTTTCACATCAAGCAAATGTGTCTTCATAAGGACATGGGTCTCCCAAAACTGATTCTTTCTTAACTCCCATGCATAGTGAAGTTATTCATAAGATGTTCTCAAGCATAATACCAAATAATACCTATAGGCTGATCGGCCCGTATTTGGTATTATGCTTGAGAACATCTTATGAATAACTTCACTATGCATGGGAGTTAAGAAAGAATCAGTTTTGGGAGACCCATGTCCTTATGAAGACACATTTGCTTGATGTGAAAAAGACGTATCATCGAAACGAATGTCAACTCCGGGGGAGTTCGTCTCATCATCCATTCCATCTTTATTAACATTGGCTTTCTCTTTCTGTGAATACAATTTGTAAAGGCATTAATATAGTTAATACATGTTTGTTATATGCACTGGTTGCAGTAATTCTATTCTGTGTGCATCTATAACAGTATCCAGCAGAGCATCTTATGGATCAACGCCTCAAACAATGACTCTGTAGAGTTACTCTGGTCAGAGTTGCGCTGTGTAGAGTTATTCTGGAGATCATCCACTTGTTTCTCTGGAGAAGAAGAAATCTAGCAATGGCGAAGGCTCTGTTCAGGACTGGTTGTCCACTGTAAGAATGTAAGAAGAGCTCTGCTGGATCAGACAAGTAATTCATCTAGTCCCACATCCTGTCTCACATATTTATTTATTTATTTATGGACCACAAACACCAGAGCATAGAGGCTGAGGCCTTCCCCTGATGTTGCCTCCTGTCTCTGGGATTTGGAGGATTAGTGCCTCTGAATATGGAGGTTCCCCTCAGTCACCATGGCTATTAGCCACTGATAGACCTCTCCTCCGTGAATCTAACCCCTTTAAAAAGCTATTTATTCCAGTGGCCATCACTACATCCTCTGGCAGTGAATTCCACATCGTAATCACTCTCTGTGCAAAGTAGTATTTACGTTTTGTCTCTCCTGAACCTCCTGCCCAACAGCTTCATTGGAGGCCCTGGAGTTCTAGTATTTTGAGAGAGGGAGAAAAATTTCTCTTTGCCAACTCTCCCCACCCCAAGCATATTTTATAAACCTCTATGATAAGTCCCCCCCTTAGTTGTCTTTTCTAAACTGAAAAATCCCAGACTCTTCAGCCTTTCCTCATTAGGGAAGGTGCTTCAACCCCCTAATCATCTTGGTTGCCCCTCCCTCTGTCCTTTTTCCAACTCTGCAATGGCCTTTTTGAGATACGGTGACCAGAACTGTACACAGTATTCCAAATGAGGCCGCACCCTAGATCTGTTCAGGGGCATTACAATATTGGCTGTTCTATTCTCAGTCCTTGTGTCAGACAAGACTGCTGGACTAGATGGAGCTCAGGTCTGATCTAGCAGGACTCTTCTAATATCCTTATCCTGTCCTAACTGAACGCATGCTAGCAGGTCGCTGCGCTCTTGTTCTCCAGTGTCTGGGAATTTAGAAAAAAGAGAAAACTAAGATTGGACAGGACAGGTTTATAAAATTATCCATGGGGTAGAGAGAGTTTCCAGGCTGATTGCTAGAGCATCGGCCGGCAACATGCCTGACGTGATGACGTCACTTCCGGGTGATGTCATCGCACTGGGCATGTCAGCCCGAAATGGGCACTTTGGGGGTGGGGTTCCCCCTGCTGGCCTGATCCAGACCGGTGGGTTGGGAGCCCTTTGGGTGGGCAAACCCCCGCCACCCTGGGGGACTTGGCAGCCCTAGATATAGAAATGGTTAATTAAATAGGGGAGAATTAAGACAGGGTGCAGTACAAACACGCAGGGCAAAACACCCATGGAAAGAAATTGCCTGGAGAACAATGACATTCCTTAATGCAACCATCTGACTGAATTCCTACCACTGTTTGAATGCCTGATCCTCTTCAGGTCAGACTCACCCCCACCATGAGGTGATAGATGAGTGCCCTCCAAAAACAGCCTCACCGCTGCCCAGCTTCAGACAACAAACACCCTCTCTCCCTTGCTGTCTGTCAAAGTCCTGCCTTTTCAACAGGAACTGTCTGCCTGTTTTTCCTCACCAGGCCCAGTCTTGAGGCTTGGAGGGTGCCTGGGAAATGTAGGCCTAAAGGAAAATTTGCAGCAAGGCCCAAGGCCTGTATGTGAGGGAAAGGCCTTGCTCGTTTCCAACCTTCCAGGAGACAATCCATTTCTCCACACCTTGAATAAAACTTTGTTGGTCTTAAAGGAGCCACTGGACTATTCTATTGAATGTAATTGTTTTGACTATGTATCAGTGGTTGGGTGAATGGGTAACTGTTTACTTAAGCGTACATAGGTTCTTTGCCGAACATCATAGCTTCTTTTCCAAATGAAGGTGATTCCTTCTTTATAGAATCACTATTATAATGGCATTCCTTGGTATCTTATTGTTGATGATAATGTGTTTGCCTGTTTGGTGTAGTGGTTAAGTGTGCGGACTCTAATCTGGGAGAACCGGGTTTGATTCCCCACTCCTCCACTTGCACCTGCTGATGTGACTTTGGGTCAGTCACAAGCTCTGGCACAGCTGTTCCTGAAAGGGCAGTTTGTGTCAGAGTTCTCTCAGCCCCACCCACCTCACAGGGTGTCTGTTGTGGGGAGGGGAAGGGAAAGGAGTTTGTAAGCCGCTCTGAGACTCCAAGTGAAGGGCAGGGTATAAATCCAATCTCCTCCTCCTCCTCCTCCTCCTCGTCTTCGTCGTCTTCGTCTTCTTCGTCTTCGTCTTCTTCGTCTTCATCTTCTTCTTCGTCTTCTTCTTCGTCTTTGTCTTCTTCTTCTTCTTCGTCTTCTCCCATTCCTATCAAACAAAAACTTTTCAGTAAAACTCAAGTTAAGAAAAGCATTTCTGTCCCATTCTCTCTCCCCCCGCCTCCTAAATTAACACTGGAAAACAACCTACCCTGAAAGTTAAGCCCACTGTCTGCTCTTCCTTGGAGGGCTCCAGAGCAACTTTGGACAACGGAAGTAACAAATTCCCTCCCGTCTCCACTTCCAAGGTGTCCTTGACCTTTTCACTTGACCCTACCAAGATGTCCTTTTCCAAGACACGGCTTTCATTGTGCAAATTACCATTCACTAGTGACTCTACCTGCTAAGTGCTATTTGTTTCCTTTGATTCTTATATGCCTTTCGTCTCTCTTTTCCAGCAGCAGATCCTGTAAATGTGAAAGGGCTCCACAGCTTTGGATGTGAAAACAGCTTCTGTTGGAGTAGCCAGCTAACTATACGTCAAAGGATTCATACAGGGGAGAAGCCGTATAAATGCTTCGAATGTGGGAAGAGTTTTGGTCAGAATAGGAGGCACATGGTACATCAAAGAATTCTCACAGGGGAGAGCCCATATAAATGCTTGAAGTGTGGAAAGAGCTTCTCTAGTAATCACTGCCTAACTGTACATGACAGGATTCACACAGGGGAGAAGCCATATAAATGCATGGAATGTGGAAAGAGCTTCACTCAGTATAGCTCCCTGATTACACATCGCAGGATTCATACGGGGGAGAAGCCATATAAATGCTTGGAGTGTGAAAGGAGTTTCTCTCAGAAGGACTGTCTAATTAAACATCAAATGATTCACACAGGGGAGAAGCCATATAAATGTTTGGAGTGTGGGAAGAATTTCAGGCAGTCTGGCTCATTAACAGTACATCGAAGGATTCACACAGGGGAGAAACCGTATAAATGTTTGGAATGTGGAAAGAAGTTTGGTCAGAAGAGGAGCCTCATGGTTCATCAAAGAATTCACACAGGGGAGAGCCCATATAGATGCTTGAAGTGTGGAAAGAGCTTCTCTACTAATCGCTACCTAGCTGTGCATGACAGGATTCACACGGGGGAGAAGCCATATAAATGCGTGGAATGTGGAAAGAGCTTCACTCAGAATAGTGCCCTGACTAAACATCGAAGGATTCATACGGGAGAGAAGCCATATAAATGTTTGGAATGTGGAAATAGGTTTGGTCAGAAGAGGAGCCTCATGGTTCATCAAAGAATTCACACAGGGGAGAGCCCATATAAATGCTTGAAGTGTGGAAAGAGCTTCTCTACTGATCGCTACCTAGCTGTGCATGACAGGATTCACACAGGGGAGAAGCCATATAAATGCATGGAATGTGGAAAGAGCTTCACTCAGAATAGCGCCCTGACTAAACATCAAAGGATTCATACAGGGGAGAAGCCATATAAATGCTTGGAGTGTGGAAAGAATTTCAGGCAGAGCCAGAGCCTTACCTCACACCAGAAAGTTCACCCAGAGAAAGAGCTACACAGTCACAGTTAGCATGCAGGAAACCAGTGAAGGCTGCCACCTTGTCTTGGTTGTGACCATCACTTTTTTAAAATAGCTGCCCATGACAAGGCCCATCTCAGTTTATAGAACCTTCCAAAAAACTGCAAACAACCACAAAGAAAAAGCAGTCAAGCCTTTTACATATCAAAGTCTTGCCTTCCCCACCTTGCCTCAGTATGCTTCTCAGTTTGGAGAACTGTACTTGCACCCCTCACCACCAATTCTAGATTAGTGTCTCCCTTTGAAGCTTCTCTGTAGGAAAACTGCCACTCTTAGGTTAGCATTGGAATATCTTGGAAGATTAAAATGTTTTCCTGCTGGTTTCAGAGTATTTTTCATGTCAGGTTTATGTCCATTCATTCCTTTTGTGTAGAGACGAGCCTGTTTGTCCAATGTAGAGAGTAGAAGGGCATTGCTGACACTTGATGGAGTATATAATGTTGGAAGATGAGTAAGTGACTGTAATCTGACATGGTATGTTTACGAGTAAATGAATAAACCTAACATGATAACATTTGGTTAGGCCGAATTACGTTAGGTCCAATGATTTTGGTGTTAAGTGTGTTGGCATCTTGGTTTACTACAGGCTGGGGGGGGAATCTTGTTAAAATAGTAAAATGAGTTGTATAATAATAAAAATGGTAAATGTTTCTTTTTGATGTGATTTTTGTATTTGACTTTTTGGCTTTTCCTTGTTATGATTTGTTAATGCATGCTTATGTGTATTTGTTCTGTGACTGGAAGAAAATGAATAGTTTGTTTCAGTTCAGTCTGTTATTGAAGCATTTAAACTTTGCTTACCTTCTTCTAAGATCTTAAGGAGGTTTACCTACTTGAGAAAGCTTTGGATGCTGTTAAAAGAAGTATCTTCTGTTTTATATCGTTTGGGGTGATCTACAAAGGCTTTCAACTTAGCTTTTTCGATTCTTGTTGACCTCTGTGGTTAATGGCTGCCTGCTTGCAAACCACAGCTCAGAATGCTCCTGACTGTAGCATCACAAAGAAAAGAGCCCTATTTCCTGTTGCAAGGAGATTTTATCAAATCCCTGTCTCCTCCCACTTAAGCCCGGTCATCCCAGATCAAGGAAGTTTTTCCTGTCGCTGCCAGGAATCTGCTTTTATCTAGCATTTTATACCTCCAAACCTCTGCTCCCTGCTTGGAGAAAGGGGGTGGGAGAATTTTTATTTATTTTATTAGGTTTATACCCCGCCCTTCCCGCTTTACAGCAGGCTCAGGGTGGCTTACACTGGTTAATACAAAACAATTAAAATCACCTAAAATCATTTCAGTTGAAACAATCATGAATGATAAAGTGCTGTGTGACGACCTCTTATTTGGGGAGGTCTAGTTTTTCTTTTAAAATGTTCTTTATGTTTTATTCTGTAGGGTATTCTAGCTGCCACCAGGAATTTCTATAAATTCCAATTCTTCTCTTTGCTTCTGGGGTTGGTATTGTAGCACTGGGTCTAGGCCTTTCGAGGAACTATGTGGTCTGTGGAAGAATTCTTTACTTAGCTGGTAAACTTGAAGTAAATAGGATTTATTTAACGAAAGTATAAACACGAGGGTGAACAAGGTAAACAGTACTGGGAATGATTTGACCAAATGCTTGGTGTCTCTCACAAGCCTCTCCTCTACTGACAGGGAGGATAAAGCCACTTTGTAACAATATTTCCTGGTACTTTTCTCAAGCTCTCAGCTTTCAATTGTAACTCTTATATCACAGACTTAACCGTCTGCTTAACACAGAGACTTCAGGACAAAACTCATATATTAACTGCTTTTAACACAGCACACTCTGCTCTCTCTAACTGTTTTACTCAACTCCCTGTTTAACCGTTTAACTCAACTGTCATACCTCACAGACACACCAGATAGACATTCCAATCCTCCACACAGCATCCATTCCAAAAACCCTCCCCCTCTCTGTCACTCACCAATCATACCACTTGCTTGCTTCCAGCATCCTAGTCTGTCATACATCCATACAAACCACTTTTAAAGACACACACACACAAAACATGAAATCGTTACATGCTGCATAATGAGTTAGTTGTTATAAGACGGCGTACTTAAGAGTGTACACAAGATCCCACCATTGTTCCACTCCTGATCTTCCTAATACACGGGCGGCGCAGGGGGAAGCTGGATCATTTCTTTATCTCAAACCCATTAGCTGAGGTACAAGCGAACTGACTCCTCCTCTGCCTAGAAGGAAAAAAACCCTTTCAAAATACCCAGTGGAGGCTTTTGCCCCTTGCCAACCTCCCAGGAGAAAATGCATTTCACATTGGGTATAAGCTTTGGTGTGCAGAATTCTGAAAAAGTGTGCGTGCACATGAAAGCTTACACCCAGAATAAAACTTTGTTGGCCTTAAAGGTGCCGCAGAACTTAAATATTAACTCTTACCATCTTGTGCTCTCGCTTGAGAACTCTTAACTCAGAACCTGGGATCTGAACTGGCAGAGACTGATCGAGAGAGAGATCTTGGAGTTGTAGTAGATAACTCACTGAAAATGTCGAGACAGTGTGTGACTGCAATAAAAAAAGCCAATGCTATGCTGGGGATTATTAGAAAGGGTATTGAAAACAGATCAGCCAATATCATAATGCCCCTCTATAAATCAATGGTGCAACCTCATTTGGAATACTGTGTGCAGTTCTGGTCACCACACCTTAAAAAGGATATTATAGCTTTGGAAAAATTGCAGAAAAGGGCAACTCGAATGATAAGAGGGTTGGAACACTTTCCCTATGAGGAAAGGTTAAGGCGCTTGGGGCTCTTTAGCTTGGAGAAACGACGACTGAGGGGTGACATGATCGAGGTTTATACGATTATGCATGGGATAGAGCAGATAGAGAAAGAGGTACTTTTCTCCCTTTCTCACAATACAAGAACTCATGGGCACTCCATGAAATTGCTGAACGGATAAAAGGAAGTACTTCTTCACCCAAAGAGTGATCCACACATGGAATTCACTGCCACAGGAAGTGGTGGTGGCTACAAGCATGGACGGCTTCAAAAGGGAATTAGATAAGCATATGGAGCAAAGGTCCGTCAGTGGCTATTAGCCACAAGGTATAGATAGGGGCTCTGGGGCAAGTGATGCTCTGTCTTCTTGGTGCTTGGGGGAGGGCAACAGTGGGAGGGCTTCTAGTGTCCTGGCCCCACCGGTGGACCTCCTGATGGCACCTGGTATTTCTGGCCACTGTGTGACACAGAATGTTGGACTGGATGGGCCTTTGGCCTGATCCAACATTGGCGTCTTTTATGTTCTTATGTAACCCTGCAATTAGGGCCTGCCTGGTCTCGCCCTTCTGCTGGTAGCCGTGGTTGCCTGCCGTGCCTCAGGAGACGCACGGGTGATGGAGGATGCATCGTTCTGATGCCATGACACTACTTCCAGCATGACCCTGGAAGTGACATCATTGTGATGCTCCCGGACTCCCGCAAAACTCTACATCTGCATGTTCCTGAGCTGGCAATCCTGTGTTGTGATAAGGGGGGGGGGAGGGAATAAGGAAACGCATCAGTGCTGAACATTTAGCAAGATAAAAACCTCAGGATACCGAAACTTGTTCTGACTGCTGCTGATGGGAAGGCGTCTCTTCTGCAGGGCAGCTGATGGCATTGTGGAGTAATATATATACCGGTATTTGTTTGATTCAGGTGGGCAGCCTGGTCCAAGTCCAGTGGCACCTTTGAGACCAACACATTTTTATTCTGGGCGTAAGCTTTCGTGTTCACGCACGCTTCTTCAGGTACATTGAAATAGAAGCTACCAGTCCATACGTATAGGTAGAGGATGAGCAGCAAATTGGCATAAGCAATATAAAAGGTGTTTAATAGATTCAAGGACCAAACTGGAATAACAAGCTTAGCATATATGATCATCATTTGTTTGGGTTTAATTCCAAGGGACATCGTAGTGAAATAAATAAATACATCAAAATAGGAGATACATGGGCAGACGCACCCTTGTGGAGTGTGGAGAGTAATTACCTGATACCCTGTTGTTACACTCCGTCTGTCTTCTATCAAGCATGGAGGTTGTGAGGATTCGTTGTGAGGACAAAATGAAAGAGAGAGTGGGAAAAGCTGCTTTGAAGCCACACTGGGGAGATCGGCAGGGTACGTAATACTAACAAGATCAATGTTCCCTCTAAGGCATGGAGCCTTGTGAGCAAAAATTCTACTTCATGAGCTGTCGGCATTAAAGTTGTGAGTGAGCAATTTGGCTGCTGCATAAATGAATTGGCTCTGGGGCTGTCCTTCCTGAGCTGAGACAAAAATGTATGAGCCAGAGGCCAAAAAACTGTGAGCTAGCTCACACTAACTCAGCTTAGAGGGAACACTGAACAAGATGTGTCTTTCTTGGCTTGCAAAAGCCTTGCACATGGGCAACTTTGTGTAGGAGCCGCAGGGGCTCGCCCCGCTCACTGCGCTCACCACCCACATAGCTCGCTGTGCTTGGGAAATTATTTTTTATTTTAACAAGTAGCTGATTCACATCCAATTAATAGTCCGGACGACTTAATTTTGTGAAAATTATTCTCGTCAGCCAAGAAGCTTTAGAGACTGCCAGAGGATCTATGCACATAAGTCCCACTGAGAGGGCAACTTATTTTTAATAGTGTAATAATTGTAAATGAGGTGTTTGACCTTTCCACCAGCGGATCAAGCAAAAATGTCAGTGAGTTAAGGAATCCGATTGAAACAAAACTGTTTTAATCAGGCAAGCACTTAAGAGATACAAACATGTTAATTCGTCCTAACGGGCCAGGGCTCTTTTTGTAGAAAAAACCCAGCAGGAACTCATTAGCATAATATGCCACACCCAATAGCAGGAACTCACTAGCATATTGGGCCACACCCCTGACAGCACAGCTTATTAGCACATTAGGCCAAACCCCCATGTTACCAGAAGTGTGGTCATCCAGCCACACCCACCTTTTGCTTCTTATTTTTACCTTGTTTGTTGTCAAAACCCAGGGCTTTTTTGTAGCAGGAACTCCTTTGCATGTTAGGCCACACACCCCTAATGTAGCCAATCCTAATGAATTTCTGCTGTTGGGTGTGGCCTATTATGCTAATGAGTTCCTGCTGGGCGTGGCGAGCCAGCCGGAACTCCGTTCCTGTGCGTTCCTGCCCAAAAATAGCCCTGCTAACGGCTATTGAAATAGTGTGTACAAAGAAAACCAAATCTAACACTTCTCAAATGTAACTGAATGCATGAGGTTGAAAAGCATCAGATTTCAGTGATCTTTGAATGCTGTGAAATATTCAGAAGCCTAGTGTATACATACATACATACATCCAAACACACACATATCTCACCTATTTTTTCCTAAGAGTCCCTTCAACAAAAGTTATGGCCCAAAGAAAGAACCTTAACTTCGGTTGCTGCAAATACCATGGGGATGGGGGTTTTGTGGGTCAGGATGTTCTGATTCCCTTCAGTTTTCCCATAATCATCCTGAAACTAGAAGCAACTTCTGAGATCCCTACCACTATTTTCGATGTTAAGTCCAGCACAGAGAACTTTAGCTTCATCTATGAAACTTGATGAAGCTGCGGTGGCTCAAGTGGTTAAGACGCTGAACTGCAGGCTGTGGAAGGTCGGTAGTTCAGCAGTTCGAGACCCGAGTGTGCCGCATGACGGAGTGAGCTCCCGTCTCTAGTTCCAGCTCCTGCCAACCTAGCAGTTCGAAAGCAAGAAATTGCAAGTAGATAAATAGGGACCACTTCGGTGGGAAGCTAACAGCGTTCCATGCGCCTTGGTCATGCCGGCCACATGACCACAGTCTTCAGACAGCGCTGGCTCTTTGACTTTGAAACGGAGATGAGCACCGCAACCCTAGAGTTGGATTCAACTGGCTTTCGAGCAAGGGAACCTTTACCTTTACTTTTTACAAAACTTAATAGGAGCTCCGAATACTGAATTCTCCGAATCTCCTCTGGTATGGCTCCGAGTCATTCTCGTTGCAGGAGAAATAGCCAGCCTGAGAGGCAGCTGTGTGTTGCATCTCTGCATGAGTCACAGAGAGCCAGTTTGGTGTAGTGGTTAAGTGTGCGGACTCTAATCTGGGAGGACCGGGTTTGATTCCCCACTCCTCCACTTGCACCTGCTGATGTGACCTTGGGTCAGTCACAAGCTCTGGCACAGCTGTCCTTGGAAAAGAGCCGTTTGTGTCAGGAGTTCTCTCAGCCCCGCCCACCTCCCAGGGTGACTCTGTTGTGGGGAGGGGAAGGGAAAGGAGCTTGTAAGCCGCTCTGAGACTCCAAGTGAAGGGCGGGGTATAAATCCAATCTCTTCTCCTTCTCCTTCTTATGACGGTCTCCTAATTCGGAGGTAAGTTCAGAACAGTGTGACTCTTCCAGAAACTCAGGGATGTGGGGTTGGGAACTTCAGTGTGAGGGGCATTCTTATTCTTTCAAAATCTAAAACAGTTTTGGATGGTGCAGTTGTTTGGCCCTTCTCAGTTGAAATCAGAAAATATTTTGTCAGCTATAAGACTCACTGGAAAAGGCAATAATGCTAGGGAAAGTTGAAGGCAGCGGGGAACAGGAAGGCCCATGAGATGGATTGACTCAATGAAGCCACACGGGCCCTCAGTTTGCAAGACCTGAGCAAGGCTGTTAATGATAGGATATTTTGGAAGTCATTAACTCATAGGGCAATTTCGCACTAGAGCTGCCTCACGGCGCAGCCACCGTTTGCCCTGACACTATTTGTCAATTTCACACCTGAGGCTGCGGGGCTGCATTTTGACCTGCGGCTTCGCCCAATTTCCTCCGCAGTTTCGTGATCCTCAAAAACCAGGAGTCAAAATGCAGCCCCGCAGCTTCGGGTGTGAAATTGACATATTTGTGTCGGGGCAAATAGCGACTGCACCGCGAGGCAGCTCTAGTGCGAAATCACCCATAGAGTCACCATAAGTCGGAAGCGACATGATAGAACGTAACACACACATATGGCCCCAACCTGGTAGAACTCTCTGCCAAATAGCATCAGGGCTCTGCGGGAACTTATGCAATTCCGCAGGGCCTGTAAGGCAGAGATGTTCCGCCAGGCATTTGGTTGAGGACAGCGACGGTTAACATTATGGCTGGCCCCCTACCTGGACCCCTATAAGAGCTTACTCCCCCACTGGACGTGTGAAGCACCCACAGACCAGACATGGGAGGGAGCTACAAAATTTTCACCACTTGTTTTTAATTACTATATGTTGTGGTGGCTCAAGTGGTTAAGACCAGGGCTATTTTTGGGCAGGAACGCACAGGAACGGAGGTACAAAAAATCAAAGGCACAGATATAGAATGGGAGGGACTTGGCTTGACAGCAGCACATGTGAAAGGGATCTAGGTATTCTGGTTGATCACAAGCTAAATATGAGCCTGCAGTGTGATGTGACTGCGAAGAAAGCTAATGCAATCTTAGGATGCATTAACAGAAGCATTGTGTCCAGATCATGGGAGGTGGTAGTTCCGCTCTATTCTGCTATGGTCAGGCCTCACCTGGAGTACTGTGTCCAGTTTTGGGCACCACATTTTAGGAAGGATGTTGACAAGCTCGAGCATGTCCAGAGGAGGGCAACCAGGATGGTGAGAGGGTTGGAATTCAAGTCTTATGAGGAAAGGCTGAAAGAGTTGAGTATGTTTAGCCTGGGAAAGAGAAGGCTTAGAGGGACATGATTGCAGTCTTCAAGTATTTGAAGGGCTGTCAAGTAGAAGATGGAGTGGATCTATTCTCTCTTGCTCCAGATTGCAAGACTAGATCCAATGGGTGGAAATTACAAGGGAGTTGATACCGGCTAAATATCAGGAGAAACTTCCTAACTGTAAGAGTGGTTGAGCAGTGGAACAGACTGCCTCGGGAGGTGGTGGATGCTCCTTCACTGGACGTTTTCAAGAGGAGGCTGAATGACCATCTTTCGGGTATGTTGTAGGGCTGTCTTTTGGCTATGCCCCTGCAGAGTGCAGGGGGTTGGACTAGATGACCTGAAAGGTCCCTTCCAACTCTAACATTCTATGATTCTATGCAAATTAAGTCTGTTCTTCACAGAGAAGCTCTTTTCACACTCCAGACATTTATATTGACTGGTTGTGTTTTAACTGATGTTTTATATTTTATTGTGAATGTATACTGCTTCTCAGTTCTTGGAAGCCGCCCTGAGCCTGCCTAGCGGGGAGTGAAATAAATAAATAAATAAATATGGCCTCTCCCCTGTGTGAATCCTTTGATGTACTGTTAGTGAGTCACTCTGAGAAAAGCTCTTTCCACACTCCAGTCTTTTATATGGCCTCCCCCTTGCGTGAATTCTTTGATGTTGAGTTAGGTGTCCACTCTGAGAGAAGCTCTTTCCACACTCCATGCATTTGTATGGCTTCTCCCCTGTGTGAAGTCGCTGATGTATACTAAATTTATCCTTTGAACTGAAGCTCTTTCCACACTTCCACACATTTTGAGAGAAGCTCTTTCCATACTCCAAGAATTTATATGGCTTTTCCAGTATGTGAATTCTTTGATGTCTAGTTAGTTGATTATTGTGAGAGAAGCTCTTTCCACACTCCAAGCATTTATATGGCTTCTCCCCTGTATGAATTCTTTCCCCCTAGCAAGCAGGAAGCAGACTCGGAGTCAGCGGGCAACTAGGTGCGGACTCTCCCTTCCCTGGCCGGGTCTTTTTAAGAAGACCCAGTGAAGAGAGGGGGTGGTGGCCACACAGCCTCCTCGCTGCTGGCCGAGATGAGTCTTCTTCCTGCTAGCAAAGAGGTAAGAGGGTGGTGAGGAGAATAAAGAGGATTGGCAGCAGCTCTTCCCTGGCTTAGTGCAGCTGGAAAGAATGAGGGAAAGCGATGCCAACTGTGTTGGGCACTTTTGAGTGCCGGGCGCGGCCAAGCCAGAGGCGTCAGGGTATATTTTTTTGGGGAGGGGGAGCTGTTGCTTTCCCTGCTGCTGCTGCTACCGCCACTGCCTCGTCAGTGAAGTGCTGTCTTCTTCTCTCTCTGTCCCCACCCGGGACAGACTGTGTGGACCTCCATTAATTAAAGGCAATTTGATTAATTTGATCAACTGCCCCCTAAGAAATTTAAATGCCCCCCGAAGGAAAAAAATCCAGGCTATGGGCCTGCACAGTCCTCTTACCCTATACTTGGTACTTATCCTAAAGGATAGTTAATTACGATAGGCCAGCATTACTTCAAATGGCAGTAGTTTAAAGTTCAGAATTCCCTTAGTTCTCCAAGTTGGGACTTCTCCCCATTGTCCCTCACCACATTGGCAAGTTGGCATCTGAAGGTGAAGACTGAGTCCTGTATGGCTTCTGCCCATCCAAGGAACTGTCCAAGATGAAAAAGCAGAGAGCTTCTTCCCCATGTCCTCGGCGATGTTCCCTCTAAGCTCCAGTGTTGTGAGCAAAAATTCTACCTTGAGAGCGAAAAAAGCTAGTAGCATTAAAGTTGTGAGTGAATTGACTATCGCATAAAGTAGTTCTTTAGAAGATTATTTCCATAACCTTGTAAAAAATCTCAGAATGAATTCTTTTAAAACTATATTTAACCTATACTTCTTAGTGTGCATGCCCACAAAAAGCTTATCCCAAGAATTAAACCTTTGTGGTCTTAAATGTGCCCCCCTGGATTCAAACTTTGTTCTGTTGCTTCAGGCCAACATGGCGGCTGACCTGAACTGATCGTCCAAATGTTTATTTACTACTACCTTTCTCACAAAGTAGGACCCAAAGAGGCTTACAATAAAAGGCATCCTTAACTGATATAACAATACATTAAGCCATGCTAGAATCTCTCGTGATATAAGCTTTTTTTTTTCTGGCACAGAGGTGGGCACAGCTGAAGAGCTGGCCTCTCTCAGCCCTGGCTGGAACGCTCTCCTCAGGCGGCGGCAGACTCCTGGAGGCAAGTGTTGATGTAATACATCAAGCCCAGAAGAAGGCACTTTCCATACTTCTACATTTATAAATAAACACGATTGGTTAATAGCTGTTGGTGGGGAAGCAGAAAAACCAGGGTGGCACAGTGGTTCGGAATGGTGGAGCAGCGTCTGGGAGACCCAAATCCCTACCCTGCCATGGAAGTTCACTGTATGGCCTTGGCCCAGTCATACCCTCTCAGCCTAACTTATTTCACAGGGTTGTTGTGAGGATAAAACAGAGGAAAGGAAAACACTGTAAGTCTTGTTGGGTCCCCACTGGAGAGAAAGGCAGGATATAAATGAAGTAAATGAAGAAATAAAATGAAGTGGAAAGTGGAGACAGACTGTAGATAAAAAGACAGGTCAGTGGAATTTTGTATTCATTCACCATCTTTGAAGGCCCCATAAGGGTCTCCTTGTTAGGCCAGCAGAGGAGGAGAAGGAAGAGGAAGAAGAGGAGGAGATTGGATTTATACCCCCCCCTTCACTACCCAAGGGAGTCTCAGAGTGGCTTACAACACTCCTTTCCCTTCCCCTTCCCACAACGGATACCCTGTGAGGTGGTGGAGCTGAGAGAGCTCTGACAGAAACTGCTCTTTTGCAAGAACAGCTCTTATCAGAACTATGGCTTGCACAAGGTCATCCAGTCGGTGCAAGCGGAGGAGTGGGGAATCAAACCCAGTTCTCCCAGATTAGAGTCCATGCACAGATACTTTTGGGAGGCTTGCTAGCTACGTCACTTTGCATTTTTGTGAAGCATTTTAATAAACACACTTCATTAGCCCAGCAGTGCCAAATCTGCATATGCCTTTCCTTCATTTTACCTGTGTCAAGATCTTTGTAACTGCTATTTCATAGGGAAACTGATGTGTAGGATTACACCCTTTGGGAAGGGTCTTTATTGCGTTTAAGGGTTAATACTCTTTTTTCTTTTCTTACATGGTTCTAGTATAATTTTTAAAAAATATGTAACAACTAGCAACTAGTAAACAATCAAGTTTATTTGTTTACAACCCAATGGTTATCACAAAACAAAATTCCATTCAAAACCCAAGAGAGTACCATACTTTTATAGACCATATAAACCATTCATTTCACCATAGTTACAAAACCAAACAGAATGACAGCCTATTCAACAATTTTGCCCAGAGCCAAAATGATCTGTGATTGAATCTCTGGGTGGCTAGTTTAATCTTTAAAAGCAGGTACAGGAGAAGAGAGGCGCAATTCGGATTGGGATCATCCCAGTAATCTCCTTGATAGCCACTAACCCCCTTCCCAGGTATGTAGCCCCAGGACAAAAAGACCCACAGGGACTAATGGTTTCCATACCAAAAAGCCTCTGATGCAGAGCTTTCAAAGGAACAGAACATATGATCAGGGGTCGTTTCGTAGAAAAAGAGCTAGGGGAACTCATTAGCATAACTTATTAGCATATGCCACACCCCTGACATCACCGGAAGTGTGTCATAAGGCCACACCCCCTGACATTACCGGAAGTGTGTCATAAGGCCACACACCCCACCCCCAACGGTCCCAGCCGCTGCCGGCCTTGCCGCTCCACTGCCGAGCCCCATGAGGGGCCCGGCGGTGGACCTGCAAGGCTGGCAGGAGTGCAAGGAAGCCCCGGGAAGGCCCTTCCTGGCTCAGGCAGGCAGGGGTGGGGAGAGGCAGGGAGGAAGCAACTTACCCTCCTTCTTCTCCTGCCTCCTCCTGGCTGAATGAGGGCCAGAAGCGGGGCGGCTGGAAGCAGGGGGCGGGGCTTCGTCATGTGCCCCGCCCCCGTACCTCTCCCGGGGGAACTGCAATCCCCCGCGATCCCCCCCGAAATGACCTCTGCATATGATTTCATCTGATATTGCCACAAATACTGTCCCCATTTAATATTATTGAAACGCAGATACAGATTCAATGAGCTCCAACTCATGAAAACTCATGCTGGAATACACGTTGTTAGTCTTTAAGGTGCCACTAGACTTCTGTTTTATTTTGCCACAATAGACTAACATGGCTACCCTTCCAGAATTTTCTGAACCATACCTTTAGACTCCTAGTTCCTCCAAAATAACTGATCAGATGAAGTTGCCTTATATCGAGTCAAACTCATGGTCCATCAAGGTCAGTCTTGCCTTCTCAGACGGGCAGCAGCTCTCCAGGGTCTCAAGTAGCGAAGAAGAGATAGGATTTATACTCTGCCCTTCACTACCCAAAAGAGTCTCAGAGCAGTTTACAATCTCCTTTCCCTCCCCCTCCCCACAACAGACACTCTGGGAGGTAGGTGGGGCTGAGAGAGCTCTCTGGAGAACTGCCCTTGAGAGAACAGCTCTGAAAGAACTTGTGACTGACCCAAGGTCACACCAGCAGCTGCATGTGGAGGAGTGGGGAATCAAACCCGGTTCTCCCAGATTAGAGTCCGCGGTCCTGACCACTACACTAAACTAGCGGTCTTTCACATCACCCACTACCTGATCCTTTTAGCTGCAGATGCCGGGGATTGAACCTGGGACCTTCCGCATGCCAAGCAGATGCTCCACCATTGAGCTGTCACCTCACCCAAGTTTAAAAAAATAATCTTTTGAGCTATTTTGTATGAAGATGTTATCACAGTTTGGCAGTTTCAGGGGCCTGAAGAAGGACCTCCACAAGCATGAGGCCAAGGGCTGTTCACATCCATGCCTGTGGTGGGCCTCTTAAGGACCCCTGTACCTGCCCAACTCTGATAATCCCAAACACTGTCTCTGTCAGACAGCAGAACTCAAGAAGCCAACAGCAGTCTCTTTAGCAAGCCTCAAATGGAACAGCTGCTCGTTCGACTGCGAACTGACTACAAACCGATGAAGCGGATGTATCCTGAGTAAAACCATCGGCCTATTGAGCTAAGTATTGTCTACTCTGACCGGTAGCAACTTTCCAGAGTTCTCAGAGGTCTTTCAGGATCCCTTGCTATCTGATCCTTTTAACTGGAGATGCTGAGGACTGAACCTGGGACTTTTGTGCGTGCAAAACAGATGCTCTATGGGCCCTCCCCAAGTCATTATAGAAAGCTGACATGATCCAGCATATACTCACATCCTCATATTAAGCTACATGATTCCAGATCACCCTTGCAAAGAAAGAAAAAAAGATACCCCCCCCCTTCTTGGTCTTTACATATGTCAACTATATTCACAGAACCTTTTCTCATTAAGCCCCATCAAAATGCCTCTGGCTTGGACAAAGGCTTCAGCATGATAACCTTTAAAGAGCCATTTCAAAATGTTTTTTTCAGATTTGTGCTCCTTGTACCCTCTTAATTTTCTGCCTGTTCAGGGGATCGTTAAGTCCTGTGACATTTAAAGATCATAATTTCTTTTTGGAAAAAAAAACTGTCTTTAAATTACAAAGGAAAATGAGAGTGAATCTGAACCAACAAAGAAATAAAAGAATCTCCTTCCTCTTGAACCTAAGAATAAATAGCACTTACACTATCCCACAGATTCTGCAGAATTTTATAATTCAACATTAAGGATCTCATTTTATCCCATACTTCCTCATGAACAAATTCCTGTTTCCAGATTCCTGTTCTACTATGGCCCCTATAATCTGTCTCTTCTGAATCTAGTATTGCTACATTCCCTGCCTTCTTCTACTACTTTGATAATGATTGTCCATTATTTTTAATTAATTAATTAACAGCTTAAATGGAAAACACCATTAATACAAATGGTTTTCTTTATTCAACCTTCTTGTTAAAAACATCAACCCCCTTCTTGTAATTGCAGAAAGATCTGGGGGGGGGGAGCACTTTTTGAGTTATCCACATTTAAGCCTGCATGTTTCGTAAGAGTCTGGAACGATGACTGATTCTGAAACTTAACGGAAGCGTTCTAAGGAGCCTTATATTTGTTTGACTAAGAGCTATTAGTCTGCAAAGCAGAATCTGTTTCTCTATCAGTTGTAGATGATAAATAATAGCCACTCACAAATAACTGTTTAATCTGAAATCCCTGCCTTGGACTTCTTACTTCATTTTTCAGCTGTGTACATTTTTTTTTCTAGCCTGGTTGCCTTAGTTGTCCTTATAATCAAATAGTTCATCAGCTATTTCTTGTATTTCAGAATTTAATCCTTTGATTATAAGCTATGTCCAATTTCCCTCTTTCTTATTTGGTTTTTGCCTAGATCCTGCTTCCCAATTTACTTTCTTCATTTGCTTTCACTATCTTTTCTGCTAGTATTATTAGTTTAAATCTGAATTCTTCTCTGTCGATTTCTTAGTTGAATGTTTTTAGGTCATAATCACATTTTTAAAAACTTCCTCTTTCTCAAGACATTCTGTATTTTTTTTACAGGTGGAAATTAAGTTTCCATCTTGTTTACCCCTGTATTTTTGTGGTATTTCGTTTTTCGTTTCCTTTGGCCTCCATTTGCTCATGCAACACTTACACAGTGTGGGCTCTCTGATGTGTAACAGGAATAAATTTGTTATTAACACTTTCCCTTTTTCTGTAGAATTTTCTGTAGTATTTGGCCTTGTTCAGAGCATTAACAGGGTTTATGTCCTAAATGAATTATCTGATGTCTAATGAATGCCTTCTTCTGAATGAAGGTTTTTCCGCACTCAAGACATTCATAAGGTTTCTCCTCTGTATGGGTTCTTTGATGTTTGATCAATGTGTCTCTTCGAGAGAAATTTTTCCCACACTTGGGGCATTCATGTGGTTTTTCCCCTGTATGGGTTTTCTGATGTTCAATTAAGTTACATGGGTGATTGAAAGTTTTTCCACACTCGGCACATTCATAAGGCTTCTCCCCTGTGTGGGTTCTCTGATGTTTGATCAACGTATCTCTCCGCAAGAAGTTTTTACCGCACACAGAGCATGCATGCGGTCTCTCTCCTGTATGGGTTTTCTTGTGTTCAATCAAGTTACATGGATGATTGAAGTTCTTCCCACACTCAGGACATTCATAAGGCTTCTCTCCTGTATGCGTACGCTGGTGATTGATCAGCGTATCTCTCCGAGAGAAGCTTTTCCCGCATTCAGAACATTTGTGAGGTTTCTCTCCTGTATGGATTTTCTGATGTCTTTTTAGATGTAGTTTCCACCGAAACCCTTTCCCACACTGGGGACACTGATATGGTCTCTCCCCAGTATGGATTCTCAGATGACTCATTAAGTTCGTTCTCTGGCTGAAGCTTTTACCGCATTGAGAACATTCATGTGGTTTCTCTTCAGTGTGGATTCTCTGGTGCCTCATTAATGTTGCTCTACAACTGAATCCTTTCCCACACTCGGGGCATTCACAAGATTTCTCGTCCATATCAACACTCTGTCTAACCCAGATTTCTCTCTGAGAGCACTCTGTCCATTCGTACGGTTCCTCTCCTGTGTGCATCCTCTGGTGTTCGTCAAGGTAGTATTTTTCCTGGAATCTTTCCCCACACACAGAACATGCATAATGGTTCGCCTCTGCATGCATCTTAACAGGTTCCAATTTGTAGGAGCCTTTTCGCCCGTACTTAGAGGACAAAGGCTGCTCCAACCCAGGGTGCACCGAACTTTCGTTCATGGGTGCTGCCACGTGATCTCTGAGGATGCTGTTGGTTTCTCCTTGCAGCTCTCTGGACATGCATTTTGGCTCTGGAATGTCAGCTGTCACAGGAATGTTCCCATGGGGGCTTGCCAGTAATACTGTCTGTGTTTTCTCTGGATTGCCCGCTCCTGGATGAGAATTCTCCACCTTGATCTTTCTCCTGTCACCTGCAAAGAAAATAATTGCAACAGTTATGCATGACTAAACGCCAAGGCGCACGGAACGCTGTTACCTTCCCACCAAAGCGGTCCCTATTTATCTACTTGCCATTTCTTGCTTTCGAACTGCTAGGTTGGCAGGAGCTGGAACTAGAGACGGGAGCTCACTCCGTCATGCGGCACACTCGGGTCTCGAACTGCTGAACTACCGACCTTCCACAGCCTGCAGTTCAGCGTCTTAACCACTTGAGCCACCGCAGCTCCCCTTTGACTGTCACCTCTTCATAATTATTTTCTCTGGGGCATTATTATAAAAAGCTCTAATCGCTTCACAGTAAACAGACTACAAATCCCCAATCACTTACTCATGTGTAAGCCATATGGGCCTCATAATTGCAGCCTCCCTTACCCAGATTCCACGAGGCCACGGGGGAGCAGCCGTCTCTATAATTGCTCGTGGATTACCCTCTCCTGTACTTTTTTTGCTCTGGCAAATACCAATTACAAACACGCCCACAGCTGAATGCTCTTTCTACCCTGAGAATTAATCTTACCCCAAACGGTAACTCTTGGCTAATTTACAAAGCATTCTCCCTTTCACTTCTAATTCATTTAACCAGTGAGATCACATTTCTGTTTAACTAATCCACACTAACAATTATTTCTTTGGGTCTGGGGAAAAGCGATGACCTCCCTCATACTCCCGGGAGCTATTCCTGACAGAATGGCAAGGCGAACTTTCATATTCCCCACACACCCATGAGAAAAGCTTTTAACAGTCCTCTGAAAACATTTCCTTGCACTTATTAATTACCCAGAACTTGTTTCAGGCAGATGTTACTGTGAACATAGTTTCAAGAAAACTGTAGGCCATGGCTTTGAAACACAAAGAGCAGGGCTTTTTTGGTAGAAAAAGGCCAGCAGGAACTCATTAGCACAATAGGCCACACCCAACAGCAGAAATTCATTCGCATATTAGGCCACACCCTGACAGTACAGCTCATTAACATATTAGGCCACACCCCATGCATTTCCTTGGCTTTCCTGGGCGCCCCACTGCTGTGGGGAGCCCGGGCAAGCCCTCCCCTGAAGGGAAGGGAAGGCAGATTAAACTGCCTCCCCTTGGCTTGCCCGGGCAAGCCGGCCCTTGGAGGGGAGGGGAGACAGTTTAAATTGCCTCCCCTTGGTTTGCCTGGGCGCCCCATGGCTGCGGGGAGCCCAGGCAAGCTGGCCCTTGGAGGGGAGGGAAGGCACGGGGAGGCATTTAAATGCCCCCCCGATCCTTCCAGCCCCCCCCCTGGCCCGCCTGCCTTGGAGTCGCGGGGGTGGGTGTGTCGCTCTCCAGGCCTTCCCTCTGTAGCCACACACGCGCAGAGGTTTTGGCTGTAGGCGTGGGCGTGGCCAACTCGGAAGCCAGCTGGAACTCCGTTCCTGTGCGTTCCTGCCCCCAAATAGCCCTGACAAAGAGCAAACTTTTTTTCTGACTGAGAGAAGTCCAAGATGTGTGAGAGACTTATTCTACCCCTAGGGGTTAAACCTACTCATTGTCCCAAGGATGTGTCTCTCCCAACCGAGGTTGCCACGTCCCCTCCAGCAACCAGTGGGAGACTGACTTAGCTGGGAGAGGTGTTTGCCAGCGGTACCCTGACGTCACTCCCCATGCGCTCAAAAGTGACGTCAGCACATCACCAGGGATGATGGGGATGCTCTGGCATTTGGCCTAAATCCCGTAATCTCCCGGTGATGCTCTGATGTCACTTCCGGCTGCCCAAGGAGTGACGTCAGCAACACCTTCCTGGTTTCCGCTGGTCATTTTGGGAGCTCTCCGGGCCCCACCTGGAGGTTGGTAAGCCTACCTTACCTGACTCTGGTTCCTGGAAGAACATGTCCTCTTTTCCTGGATGGAAAACTGGGTCAGGCTTCGGAATCAGAAGTCCCTCTTGGATAAGAAGAAAGGAACAGAATTACCGTTTAGAAGGATCACAAAAATGGCTACTTTCGGACTTCACATTAAACAAGGATGTGCCTGTTTGGTATTTATAAATAGATAGAGTTGCTAAGCAACAGGCTATATTTCATGACCAAAAAGAAAGGAAGAAGAATGCTTGTTTAGCTAGAGTACATGGAACTCACTGCCACAAGATCTGGCTGGTTTCGCCCTGACCTGGATAGCCCAGGCAAGCCAGAACTCGTCAGATCTCGGCAGATAAGCAGGGTCAACTCTGGCAAGTACTTGGAAGGGAGACCTCCTTGAAATACCAGAGGCAGGAGGCGGGGACAGTCTTTATTCACCCCCCCCAAAAGAGGGGGGGAAATCTAAACCAACAAAGGACAAACCTCCAAAGGAAGTTTAGAAAACCTATTGAGGGCCCAAAGTTAAAAACATAAGTAAGTGTACAAAAGAGTCTTTAATTACAAAGACATATAAAAACCTAGTAGGGGCCCAAATAAAGCCTCATAAAATGTTCAAAGTTACAAATACACACAAAAAAGGACTGTGTATGACCTGATGGATTTCAGCTCACAGGAGCCTTCTTCAGAGGTCAAATAGTGCAAAATGCAACAAGCAACTGAGTCCCTGTAACACAAGTAAGGCAATTAACAATAAATAAAATAGGACCAAAACTGGAATGTTCCAATACGGAATTGAACGACGCACCAAAAAGTTTCTTTTTGGAGCCACAAATATATCTGGCCTTGTGCCAGAAGTAGTTGTATATACTGGAAATAATATGTCCTTTCCAGTTTAGGTCCTAAGAGTGCAAATAAAATTGCCTTGTCGGGGACAATGTGCCATCAATATTCAGCCAGCTCTTTGAATATCCTCCAAGCCCCCAGTAGAGGTCCGTCACCGGAGGTCACCACGCCTTCCAAGTGCACACACAGACCATGCACATATTAAAAAAAAAATACAAACCAAAACCAAACCAAAAAAAGATCTGGCTGGCTTCAAAAAGAGGATGTCTATCAATAGCTGTTAGCCACAATTCAGAGGCAGTGCTCTTCTGACTATCAGATGCTGGGACCAACATCAGCTTTGGACTTGGTGCTCTGCCTGTAGACCTTCTAGGGGCATCTGGTTGGCCACTGAGTGGAACAGGATCCTGGACCAGGAGGAGCCCCGGTCAGTTCCAGCAGAGCTGTTCTGACAAGTGGGGCTCTGCTAGATAAAACAGCCGTCTTCGCACCTGCCCATTGCCACTGCAGTGCCCACTGAAAGTAAGCCCCCCCCCCCCCGACAAAAAACATCCTGCCTGTCTTCTGCAACTAGAACAGGAGCGGAGGGTGCAAGCCGTAGTTCTTGAGAAGCTCAGGGCGACCTGCGTGATTTCTCCTCCCTCGTTTTATCTCCATAACAGGCTGGCAAGGTAAGACAGGTGAAGAGGAAACGACTAACCCAAAGTCACCCAGAGAGCGTCAGGCCTGACTGGGTGTGTAGGGGTGAATTTGGGTCTTCACAGTCCTACTCTGACACTCTAACCCAGGGGTGTCGAACTCATTTGTTATGAGGGCCGGATCTGACATCAATGAGACCTTGTTGGGCCGGGCCATATGTGTCATAAAACGTAATGCCAGGAAGCGGAGATATAAACTTTAGAAAGGACACGAACACAAAGGGTTTTTTTTTAACTTAAAATAAAAACATGCTTAAAACATTAGCCCTCTTGCAATATTTTGTTTATTTAACAGTGTCTGATAACTGACACCTCTTGCTCTGAATTATTGCATCAAAATGTCTGCGCTGTTGCAATCTTGAGTATGCTCAGTGGCAGGAACTGGAAGAAGAAGCAGAAGACAGCCAGTTCCACGCAGGGCTCTTTTTGTAGCAGGAACTCATTTGCATATTAAGCGACACACCTCTAATGTAGCCAATCCTCCAAGAGCTTACAGTAGCCCCTGTAAGAAGAGCTCTGTAAGCTCTTGGAGGATTGGCTACATTAGGGGTGTGTGGCCTAATATGCAAAGGAGTTCCTGCTACAAAAAGAGCCCTGCAGGCCTGATAGAAGCCCTCTGTGGGGCCTAATCCGGCCCCCAGGCCGCATCTTTGACACCCATGCTCTAACCACTAGACGTCTTTACATTGGTGGAAAGTGCTGGCAATTCGCGGCAAAGCTACGCCGACCCTGTAGCGTTCCCAAGGCAAGAGGCATTCGGAGGGGGTTTTCCAGTGCCTGCCTCGGCATCCCAACCCTCTACTTCCTTGGTGGTCTCCCGTCCAAGTACCCATCAGGGCTGACCCTGCTTAGCTTGTTACACCCGACGAGACTGGGCTAGCCTGGGACATCCAGGTCGGGGCTGAGCACTTCTAAGTCCCAAGGATTCCGATGGGTCATAAAGAGAGCAACACCAGCAGGCCTACTCAAATACAAGTCCCATTTCGTCCTGTGTGGCACTCTCCCAGGAAAGTGTTCTCAGGACTGTTGCCTGCGTTAAAGCAGATGCTTTCATCTTCTCCCACTGAGCTTCAATAAGAAGGCGTGGGGGTCGTGGCTCAGTACATAAGAACATAAGAGAGGCCAATGTTGGATCAGGCCAAAGGCCCATCCAGTCCGACACTCTGTATCACACAGTGGCCAAAAATACCAGGTGCCATCTGGAGGTCCACCAGTGGGGCCAGGACATTAGAAGCCCTCCCCCTGTTGACCCCCCCCCCCAAGCACCAAGAAGACAGAGCATCACTTGCCCCGGAGTCCCTATCTATACCTTGTGGCTAATAGCCACTGATGGACCTCTGCTCCATATGCCTGTCTAATTCCCTCTTGAAGCCGTCCATGCTTGTAGCCGGCACCACTTCCTGTGGCAGTGAATTCCATGTGTTAATCACTCTTTGGGTGAAGAAGTACTTCCTTTTATCCGTTCGAACCCAACCGCTCAGCAATTTCATGGAGTGCCCACAAGTTCTTGTATTGTGAGAAAGGGAGCAAAGTACCTCTTTCTCTACCTGCTCTTTCCGATGCATAATCTTATAAACCTCAATCATGTCACCCCTCAGTCGTTGTTTCTCCAAGCTAAAGAGCCCTAAGCGCCTTAACCTTTCCTCATATGGAAAGTGTTCCAAACCTTTTATCATTCGAGTTGCCTTTTCTGCACTTTTTCCAAAGCTATAATATCCTTTTTAAGGTGTGGTGACCAGAACTGCACACAGTATTCCAAATGAGGTCGCACCATTGATTTATATATATAGCATCTGTGTAGCATGCAGAAGGTCCCAGGTTCAGTCTCCTGGCATCTCCTGCTAATCAGGTCATAGCAGGTGATGGGAAGGACCTCCACCGGACACCCTGGAGAGCCACTGCCAGGCCGAGTACACAAGACTGACTTTGGTGGCCCCAGAGTCCGGTTCAGTGCAAGACAGCTTCACGTGTGCATTAACCACTTTGGCTGGATTGTTCCCCTCACCTGGCAGCGTGACACATACATTTTTTATCTCTGCTCATTTAAAACATGAATACTGCATTCTCTGACATAAAACACTATTAGTACTGGAGGGCATCCAATGAAGCTGATGGGCAGGAGGTTCAGGACGGACAAAAGGAAATACTACTTTACACAGAGGGCGATTAAAATGTGGCATTCGCTGCCAGAGGATGTAGTGACGGCGGCCACAGGAACAAACAGATTTAAAAGTGGATTAGATAAGATTCACGGAGGAGAAATCTGTCAGTGGCTACTATCCATGGTGACTGAGGGGAACCTCCACCTTCAGAGGCACTAAGCCTCTGAATCCCAGAGCCAGGAGGCAACCTCAGGGGCAGGCCTCAGCCTCTTTGCCCTGTTGTTGGCCCTCCAGAGGAACTGGTTGGCCACTGTGTGAGACGGGACGCTGGACTAGATGGACCACTGGTCTGATCCAGCAGGGCTCTTATGTTCTTAACAATGATGCTCACAGCAGCAAAAAGCATCATTTCATTTGTTGGACTTATTGGTCTCGGCAGAACAGATCTTTACCCAAGGACGTCGGGTTCCCACAGATCTCTTCTTTGACTTGCCAGAACATGGTTCTCTGTCCCAAATGCGCCAGAGGCTGTTCCTCCTTGTCAAAAGACAGGTCCATCTCCTTGAAGCTTGCAGGTCCCTGAAAGAGGCAAGTTTCCTTGGCTCAGGCCTATCACCCAAGAAACAGCTTTCAGGCCTCCTTCATGCACAAGAAACCACTTTCTTCCTCTCCTATATAGCTAGACCAGGGAACCCTAACCTTTCTCAGCCTTTGGGCACCTTCTGAATTCTGACATGGCATGGTGGGTGCAGCCACAAAACGGCTGCCACCGCTTACCTTCAATCACCCAGTGAAGATCCTTGTGCTGTGGTGGCAGCTGCTGCCAAAGCGACATTTTTAAAAAATGCTTGGAGGGTGCCAGAAAAGATGATCGTGGGTGTCATGGTGGTCCACAGGCACCACAACAGACCCCTGCAATAGACCTTCAGGTCACCACTTTGAGACTCACGGCCATCTCCTGAGGGAGGGTAGGCTGTATGTGTATGGCCAGCCCAAGCTTCTGTGGAAGAGTGGGCATTTGAACCTGGGTCTCCCAGGTCCTAGGTCTGACACTCTCAGGGGTCATTTCCTGCAGGAGCGCACAGGAGCGGAGCTCCGGCAGTAAAGAGCCCAGGGGGTGGGCAAGTGCAACAAGCCCCGCCCCTGCTCCTTATCTCCCTCTTTCTTTCCCTCTTTTCCTCCTTCTTTCCTTCCTTTTCTATATTTCTTTCTTTTCCTCCTTTTCCCCTTCTTTCTTTCCCTCCTCCTTTCCTTCCTTCTTTCCATCTCTCTCTCTCCTTCCCTCCCTCTCTCTGCACAGATTTGTGTGAGGGCAGATCTGTGCGTCCCCCACTCCAGCTAGCAATCCAAAACAGTCGAGTGGCACCCTTAAGACCAAGTACACGCTCTCCCTCCTCTGTGAGGACAGATCTGCGCGTCCCCCCCCCCAATAGCTAGCAATCCAAAACCGTCCAGTGGAGCCTGGGCGGTGGGTGCTGCCTTCTGACACACTTCTGGTGATGCCAGGGGGTGTGGCATATGCAAATGAGTTATGCAAATGAGTTATGCAAATGAGTTATGCAAATGAGTTATGCAAATGAGCTCCTGCACCTCTTTTTCTATGAAATGACCCCTGGACACTAGCCGCTTCACCACACTGGTTCTCAGTGCCCCGTCATTTGTTTGCTCCCCCGTTCCTCAGAGAGGAGTTCTGGACGGCTTAAAGACGGCGGGGAAAGAGCCCCCCTCGACCAACTCCTTCAATGAACCCTTCCACTGGATCCAATCCCCTGCTTGCTTATGTGTCTAAATATTTATACCCTGCCTTTCCCTTACGCCTCAGGGAGGCTCACAAGATTAAGAAAACATACAAAGCGCAAAAACCTGATCAACGTTGCCACCTTCCCCAAGAAAACTCCTGCAGCGTAAACCTTGTGAAAAGCCCTCTCAGACCAAATGGCCTTGCAGCACCTCCTGAGCAAAAGATAGTGCCTGCTTTCACCTCCTCAGGGAGCCCGTTCGACAAAGTAGGAGCCATGATGGAAAAGAAAAAGGTTCTGGCAGATACCAAGGGGCCGCAGTGTTCCCTCTAAGCTGAGTTAGTGTGAGCTAGCTCACAGTTTTTTAGCCTTCGGCTCACACATTTTTGCCTTAGCTCAGGAAGGGACGGCTCCAGAGCAAACTAAGTTATTCAGTAGCCAAATCACCAGCTCACAACTTTAATGCCAGTAGCTCACAAAGTAGAATTTTTGCTCACAGGACTCCACAGCTTAGAGGGAACATTGCAAGTGGGCCCCCTTAAGCAGGGAAGTAACTAGAAGCGGGAGCCTGTTGCTTCTAAGACCCAAAGTGAGCACCCTGTAGGCCGCTATGTGAAACAGGATACCGGACTAGGACTTTCGGTGTGATCCAGCAAGGCTCTTCTGAGATTCTTAAGGCGCTTTTAAAGGGAATTGGACATATTCATGGAGGGTAAGGTTCATTGGTTGAACCAGCTCAATAGAACCTCCATGTTCAGAAGCAGTTATGCCTCTGGACACCAGTTGCTGGGAAGGATCTGCAGGGAGAGGATCCACATCCAGCTTTCTGGGAAATGGGATGCCAGACGAGACGAACCACTGGCCCAATCCAGCAGGGGTCTTCTATGTTCACTCTGCCCCCTTCCTTTGTTACTGGATTCTGTCTCCTTTTGTAAATGCCGGACCTAAAAAGGTTTGTCAAGAATAGAAGAGGGCCAACTCTAAAACTCTAATTATGAAACATACAAAAATATACATGTATTTATTCAACACAAATTAAAATAACAAATAAGGGCCCATTCATACCTCATAGACAAATATAAAAACATACAAAGGCTAATGAAATAGACCTAACGCGTTTCGGCCTTTACAGGCCTTCCTCAGAGGTCTAATACAAATAGAACATGTTGGCTGATATGTAAAAATATATACAATCATACATATACAAAATATGAAGTAAAGACCAGAAAACAATTGTTCCAAAATTTAACCACTGGGCAAAGAAAAGAAATACAAAAATACAAATGAAGCCTCCAGTGCAATCACATGTCCTCTCTGGTCAACCATATATTCTCCTGAGATTGTACAGCCAAATGTTCCCAATAAAATGTTCCTTAAGTTAAAACAATTGTTTTCTGGTCTTTACTTCATATTTTGTATATGTATGATTGTATATATTTTTACATATCAGCCAACACGTTCTATTTGTATTAGACCTCTGAGGAAGGCCTGTAAAGGCCGGAACGCGTTAGGTCTATTTCATTAGCCTTTGTATGTTTTTATATTTGTCTATGAGGTATGAATGGGCCCTTATTTGTTATTTTAATTTGTGTTGAATAAATACATGTATATTTTTGTAAGTTTCATAATTAGAGTTTTAGAGTTGGCCCTCTTCTATTCTTGACTAACCTTTTTAGGTTCTGAATTCTAGGTTTTAGGTTCAGTTTTTCCCCCTTTTCTCTTTTTTGTCCTTTTGTAAATGCCCAGTCCTGCCCGCAACAGACCAACCCTCCTTGTACCTCGGTCAGGCCCATTTCCGCCATTTCATGTTGCATGGGAGGAAGAGCTGGAGCGGAGTGGCTTGGGAATGTGATTCCGTTGGCTGTAAGGGAAGAACAGAGAAGAAAGTTTGTGGGGGTGGAGGGCAAAATGAATGGTGTAATAGCTCTGCAAGACAAAACAAAGCTTTATTTATTTATTTATTTATTTTTATATCCCACCCTCCCCGCCATTCGGCAGGCTCAGGGTGGCTAACAACGTCAATAAATATACATTAAAATTCCAGTTAAAACTGTCAATCAAAATAAATCATACGATATAGACATAACTTACAACAAAAGGTGGCAATCTTCTAATATCAACTTTACGACTTGTTCATATCCTCACTCTCCCCCAGACACCAAGAATGGTAGAAAGCAGGGGTCCCCAACTGTTTGGGGCCTGTGGGAACCTTTGGAATTTTGAGGGGAGGTGGTGAGCGCTACCCCCAACATGGCTGCCACAGGAGAGGGCGCCAAATGCAAAATGGCTGCCTCAGGAGACGGTGCCATGTGGAATATTTCTCTTCTTACACCTCCCAAGAAGAAGGAAATCTTGAAGGGGGAATGGAATCACATGTTGACTGAGGAAAGCCCAGATGCTCACCAGTGCGCCGCATCCTGCAGTGGAAAATCCTTCCACTGGAATGCAAGCAGCCGGTAACAAGCCCTGCCTTACTGTCTTCCTACCCACATTCTGAAAAGCTCGGTGGATGCCAAGGGAAATCCTGGCAGGCACCACATTGGGAAACACTGGTGTGGAGAGAAGGGTCTTGGGTGTCTACTCCCTGGTTACATAATTCCCTTGCACTGGAGAACCTCCAAAATCTGAACCTGAGCACGTTCTAGATTCTTTGTGAGACTTTGTCCATTTCTTTTCCTGCCGGGGGCCAGCGAATACCCCAGAGCTTGACTCTGGGAGAACAATGGGAACTAGGCTCCTAGTCTCTCCACTGGGGGAGCCAATGGGACCGTGGCGGGAGATTTGAACCCACCAACGGGACCTAGGGGTGTGTCCCCAGGTGTGTATATAGTTGGCCAGCCGGCCGTTTGTCTTTGTCTTTGTTGTGTACCAGTAAACCATGCTGATCACTACATCAGTCTCAGAGGTTTCTTCATGCGTTTAACCCACTACACTTCACAGACCATTAGCAACCGAATATTCCTTACCCAGCAAACCAATTTCCCCGTCATCTTTTGGCTTTACATCCATGTAGGACACCGTCTGAGCTGAGTCTGGCAAGGGCCTCTCCGGCTCTAAGGAACTCCTGGTCACCTCCTGAATTGGTACCTGAAGCAGCAACAAAGATCCAATTCAGTGTAAAGGAGCACAGCAATAAAGGTGAAAGCTGGTGTTTGGTTGAGGGTCAGGAGCAACGGAGAAACCCTCACAGCTCCATCCAGCCCACCATTTGTTTCCAGCAGTGGTTAGCTAGATACCTAGGCGTGAGGCAATGCCCCATCCCACTGTTTCTTTTCCACGTTATACACTCGTATGCTTCCATACGAGGAGGTTCCATTTTGCTGCCACAGATAATACATACTGACAAGAAGTTGCAAGGGAGCGGGTATCCCATTCACCTGCCTCTTTTAGCTCTACGTCCTCACCCCTCGTTTTCTCCACTGCACCCCTCGATCTACTCCTGCTGTCTCCCTCTGTTCCCTTCCAGCTTCTGCCCATCCCCATGGTCAAACCATAGTTTTGACCAAAAACCAGAGCATCACTGTCAGTGCTCCTTCTTAGCTGTGATGTCTTGTGAGCCCAAATTCTACTTTGTGAGCTCCTGGCATTAACGTTGTGAGCGAGCGATTTGGCTGCTGCATAAATTAGTTTGCTCTGGAGACATCCTTCCTGAGCTAAGACAAAAATCTGTGAGCCGGCGGCTAAAGAACTGTGACCCTAGCTCACACTGAGTCGGCTTAGAGGGAACACTGGTCACCATGCAACATCCCCAACGTGGTGATGTCACTTCTGGGTGATGTCAGCGCATCAGGGACATTGTGTGGCAACGTCGCTCTTTGGGGGGTGGGTTCCCCCCGCCAGCCAACTGGCCGGCGGCAGGCAAAAGCCCCCAAAACCACGATATTCCCCACCTGGACCTGGGGAATGGCAACCCTATATCTGGAAATAATCGGAACCCCACACTAGGGATCAGGGGTCATTTCGTAGAAAAAGAGGGGCAGGAGCTCATTAGCATAACTCATTAGCATAACTTATTTGCATATGCCACATACCCCTGACATCACTGGAAGTGTGTCAGAAGGCAACGCCCACCGCTCAGGCTCCACTGGACTGTTTTGGATTGCTAGCTATTGGGGGGGGGGGGGGGGGGG